ATTGGTAGTGACCCCCCTCCCCTCCCCCCAGATCATCTACACCCTGCGCTGCCCCAAGGATGTCCTGGTCTCGCTGTACCACTTCTCCAAGCTTCTGTGCCTCTTCAAGGACCCTGGTTCACTGGACTCCTTCCTCGAGGACTTCCTGAGTGGGAACGGTGAGCAGCACCCCGGGGCCCTCGGGGGCCCTGCTGCAGTTAGGGATACGCAGACAGCCTCCTCCCGCCCGATGCCTGGGCTCCCAGCCACTCACTGATGGGATCCAGTTTGTGCATCCCCAGCCAGCTCTGAGCTGCCCTTTGCCCAGGGCCCAGCACAGCTTAATGAGCTGCTGTGTGGGGCTTAATAGGCTGCTTCACGGCCGTCCGGCCGCGCACCATGGAGGGTGTAACGCTGCGGTTCTGGCGGGACCCAACGGAGAGTGCCAATTCAGGACAAATTGCTCCAACAGGGCAGTTACAGCCCTAGGCTGGGGTTTTTCCACCTCTAAGGCAAACCAAACCAGCCAGACAAAGAGGACTTTGGTCTCACCCCACTGGCTAACCACAAGTCACACAAGCAATTCCCTTAGACACTCCGGTTTCCCCGTATCACCACCAGTGCCACTCGTTATGGGGACAAATGGTTATGAAAACCAATACCCCAGTAAAAGAAAAAAGGTTCTCCTGATCCCATAGGACTAAGCCCCAGACCCAGGTCAATATACAAATCAGATCTTACCCACAAATCACGCTCTTGCCAATCCTTTAGAATCTAAAATCTAAAGGTTTATTCATAAAAGGAATAAGATAGAGATGAGAGCTAGAATTGGTTAAATGAAATCAATTACATACAGCAATGGCAAAGTTCTTGGTTTAGGCTTGTAGCAGTGATGGAATAAACTGCAGGCTCAAACCAAGTCTCTGGAACATCCCCAGCTGGGATGGGTCATCAGTCCTTTGTGTAGAGCTTCCATTTGTAGCAAAGTCCCTCCAGAGGTAAGAAGCAGCACTGAAGACAAGATGGAGGAGAGGCATCAGCCTTTTATGTCCTTTCCAGGTGTAAGAACACCTCTTTGTCCTTACTGTGGAAAGTTACAGCAAAATGGAGTCTGGAGTCACATGGGCCAGTCCCTGCATACTTTGCTGAGTTGGAAGGCGTATCTGCCTTCTCTCAGTGGGTCAATTGTATAGCTGATGGTCCTTAATGGGCCATCAAGCAAGCTAGGCAGAGCTAACACCAACTTGTCTGGGGTGTCTCCCAGAAGCATAGCATAAGTTTGAAATACAGACAGTTTAGAGCCAATATTTATAACTTCAACTCCAAAATTGATACACACATCTAGACAGCATAATCATAACCAGCAAACCATACCCTTGTCTTAGACACCTCATTTGACCCCCTTTATACAAGATTTGGTGCCACTACAGGACTTTGGTTGCAACCATGTTCTATATGGTCCCAAATTATATCAATAACGTCACAGAGGGGACTTAGGTGGAGGTAGTGCTTGTTTTGTGCCATGGCCCCGGCACCTCTGGGCCTGGCAGTTCAGAGCCCTGGCACCTCTGGGCTGGCTGCATCAGTTATGAATGTAAAAAAATTGCTTGAGCCCTGGCACCACTTTAATTATAAATTAAACAGTGGGTGGAGGGGCCGGGGGGGGCAGCTCTGGGGTCACCGTGCCGCTCTCTCCTGCACAGTGATCTACAGCTCCTGGTTTGACCACGTCACCGGCTGGATGGGGCTGACGGGCAACGAGAACTTCTTCTCCATCACCTACGAGGAGCTGCAGCAGGTAGGGAAACTCCGCCCTTGGGTCACGCCGACACATAACTCCACCCCTGGGGTCACGCCCACACATAGCCCCGCCCCTGAGACCTCATCCACACATAACTCCACCCATGTGGCCACGCCCACAAATAGCCCCGCCCCTGGTGACACCCACGCATAGCCCCGCCCCTGAGCCATGCACACATGTAACCCCGCCCCTAGAGCCCTGCCCACACGTAACCCCGCCCCTGAGCCACCCCCACACATAGCTCTGCCCCAGAGCCACCCCCACATGTAACCCCACCCCTACAGCCATTCCCACATGTAACCCCGCCCCTGAGCCATGCCCACACGTAACCCTGCCCCTGAGCCACCCCCACATGTAACCCCGCCATAGAGCCATCCCCACACGTAACCCCGCCCCTAGAGCCATCCCCACACGTAACCCCCCCCCGAGCCACCCCCACACATAGCCCAGTCCCTGAGCCATCCCCACATGTAACCCCTCCCCTAGAGCCATCCCCACACGTAACCCTGCCCCTGAGCCATGCCCACACGTAACCCCGCCCCTGAGCCATCCCCACACGTAACCCTGCCCCTGAGCCATCCCCACACATAACCCCGCCCCAGGCCCCCAGCCAGGTGGTGTTCTAGGGTGTTCCCAGCCCCAGCTCCCCAGGCCTCGGCGTCCATGTCCCGGGTGTTGGCTCCTCCTGGCCTTTGCATTCCTCTGCCCCTGGCCTGGAACAGGGTCTGATCTCAGGTGGCCAACGTGGCTCACGGCCAAGGCCCTCTGCCCTTGAAGGGGTCTCTTCCTCAGCACCCAGTGGGGAGCAGGACCCTGCGGCGGGAGGGAACTGAGGCACAGGTGGACCATAAAATTGTCACCCTAGACTCACCCTCTTCATGGCCGCGGGTGTCTTCCCCCAGGATCTGCGGGGCAGCGTGCGGAGAATCTGCCACTTCCTGGGGAAGGAGCTGAGTGAGGAGCAAGTGGCCGCGGTGGTGGAGAACGCCTCCTTCCAGAGCATGAAGGGGAACAGAATGTCCAACTACTCGCAGCTGAGTGACGAGTACATGGACCACCAGAACGGGGAGTTCCTGAGGAAAGGTGAGTCCAGGCCTGGGCTCAGGGCCGGCTTTAGCAAGTGCGGGGCCCGATTCGTGGGGCTTATACTCACCGGGCAGCGCTCTGAGTCTTCGACAGCACTTTGCATTGCCGCGCTCCGGCCCGGGGAGTGGGGCCACAGGCTTGCTGCGCTCTGGCTGGGCGCGGGGTCCTCTTATGCGCGGGGCCCGATTCCGGGGAATCGGGGGAATCGGCCTAAAGCCGGCCCTGCCTTGGGCTAGCAGGGGGCTGCAAGTTGGGACTGAGGTGCACCAGCAGAGCTGCATGAGGCAGGGCCAGGAGAGCAGTGGGCTTTAAGTCAGGAGTGAGGGGCATGGGCAGAGGTTGCGGGGGCAGGGCTGGGGCGCAGGGGCTGTGGGTTGGCAGTGAGGGGCATGGGCAGAGGTCGCGGGGGCAGGGCTGGGGCGCAGGGGCTGTGGGTTGGGAGTGAGGGGCATGGGCAGAGGTCGCGGGGGCAGGGCTGGGGAGCAGGGGCTGTGGGTTGGGAGTGAGGAGCATGGGCAGAGGTTGCGGGGGCAGGGCTGGGGTGTAGGGGCTGTGGGTTGGGAGTGGGGGGCATGGGCAGAGATTGCGGGGGCAGGGCTGGGGTGCAGGGGCTGTGGGTTGGGAGTGAGGGACACGCTAGACCATGTCCCCTGTGGTTTGCAGGGATCTGCGGTGACTGGAGGAACCATCTCTCGGAGGCACAGAGCCAACGATTCAACACCGTTTACCGGGAGCGGATGCAGGGTCTGGGCATGACCTTCCCCTGGGACTGACGGCCCCGCGCCCGCCACATCTGCACCCGCAATACACCGGCCCTGTGCCACCCACGTGCTGCTGCTCTTCCTGTGCCCTGGGAGATGCCCCCTGGGGCAGCGTCACTAGAGCATCAGCAGTAGGCAGAGCTGGGCTGGGGCATGTGTCCAGGCGAGGTCAGTGAGCGCGTGCACACACAGGGCACGGCTCAGCTGAGGTGTATTTAAAATCTGTCCATTGCAGGGTGTTCCTGGTCCTGCTTGCAGGCAGGGGGCTCTGCAGGGAAATGTGAAATTCTGCACAGAGCCAGCCCAGAGCTCGGCGCGGGAGATGGGCCTCTGTGCAGGGAGCAGCCTGCTCTGTCTCTCTGGAGTTTGGGTTTCTGTGCCTCAGGGCTCTGGATTCTAAGAAATAAAATCAGGTGATGTGGCAACCTTCCAGCAAGAGGATTTGGTTTTTTAATCTAACTTCTCTGGGTTTGCCATGAACAGAACATGATCCCATCCAGCAGGGAGCAGCAGGAACACACGCACGCGCACACATTCTCTCTCTCTCTCCCCCTCTCCCCATGCCCCCCACCCCCATTCCAAAGGTTGTGATTGCTGGTGACCCAGTTCCCAGGCAGATCCCAGCAATACCCACAGGGGCCAGGATGCTGTCAGCCCAGAAGGCATCAGCCCCACCCAACCCCGCCCGTAAGGAAGGCAAGGCAAGCAGGGCCGGCACTACCTTTTTCACCGCAAAAAAAAAAAAAAAAAAAAAAAAGCCGCTCAGATTACCGCCCAAACCGCCGAAGCAAAAAGAAAAAAAGGCCGGGACTGTGCTGCCCCAAGAATGGCCAGAATGCCGCCCCTTAGCAGGTGCCGCCCCAGGCACGTGCTTCCTCCGCTGGTGCCTGGAGCCGGCCCTGAAGGCAAGACTGGGCCAAGAGGGTGATCCACTGGAGGTATCTGGGCTCTAGTGTGCGGGGGCCCATGAGGGTGGGGGGAGAGGAGGGCTCCCCACACCCTGGAGTCCATGATGCAGAGGGTGAGTCCATGGGCCATCCCAACAGCGTGAGGTGTTGGCAGGAACACAGGGCTCTCCTGGGCCATGGACTCCCCTCCCAGACACAGGTGCTGTATATTATTAGTGCTATTTATTAGGTGTTTTACAGGAGTGCCTAGGACCCCACTCTCGGCCCAGGACCCTGTGACGGGATCCCCGGGGTGCAGCCTGGGACCGTGGGACCACTGTACCCCCTGAACTCTCTCTAGCCTGGGCTGTCTCTCACTATGCCTTGCTAGTGACTAGCAGCAAACCCCTCCAGGTGCTGTGATCACTCAGCACAACCACATGTGGAGACCCCACACCCAGCTAGATTGCATGAATGTCCCAGAGCCACTCATGAATCACACAGAGAAAGGCACCAGCCAAATCCCCCCAGCTCCTAGCCTTGCACCTCAGGAATAAACCGTCTTGCACTGCTCAAGACAAATAATGCAGATTTATTCATTGGGTCACCAGTTCATCAATGGACAGTGGCTATACACCAGTCTTTGCAAGCCTGAGCAGATTTTCCACACACTTCATACCAACTCACTGGCAAAGATAAACAGGTAAAGAAATTTATTGACTACAAAAGAGAGATTGTAAGTGATAGTAAGTGCAAAAAGTCAGAGTTAGTTACCAAAATAAAATAAAATGTAAGTGCACGGGACAGGACTAGACGGCCTCTCAAGGTCCCTTCCAGTTCTGTGGGTCTCTAAGCACGCAGTCTAAACTCTCAACTCTATTAGACTGGGCAACATCTAGATTAAGCAGTTTTACTCACCCCACTGGATATTGCAGTCCTTAATATACAGGTTTGTTCCTTAAACCTGGGCCTATGTCCTGTGTTGGAGTCTTCAGTCTTCTTCTGAGTGTCTTGGTTGATTGCAGCATAGGTGGGGGCAGGAGAAAGGCCCAGCATGGGGCCCCTGTGTTCTGTTTTATAACCTCAGTCCCATGTGCTTGGGGAACTGGAGTCCAGGCATGTTTGGGGCATTGCTGAGTCTCTCCCAGCAAGGCTGAGCAATTCCCCCGTGTGGCCTCTTGCAGGTGAGTCACTGCATTGTAGCTCCCTTGCTGGACAATGGCTGTTGATGGGTTGTTTGACACCTGCCCGGGCCTTGGTTACTTTCCTTGCTGTTGCATGTGGGGACCTAATATCTGGCTGATTCCCCAATTTACAGCATGTTTTAGTGACCACCATACAACACAATTCTCATAACTTCATATGCATTAATGATACACATATACGGATAGAGAAATGACTTTCAGCAGATCATTACCTTTCCCCTGATGCCTCACACGGCCTGCTTTATATGCAATATCACAATTATATAAAAATGAGGAATATGGGGGTTACAGGGTGCTCCCCCAAGGTACAGAATGTCACAGACCCCCTCATGCTAGTACTGTACATAATTTATTAGTAAGGCTATGACTTAATCATGGGCATTTTTAGTAAAAGTCATGGACAGGTCACAGGGAAGAAACAAAAAATTACGGCCCATGACCTGTCCAGGACTTATACCATAAATACCCCTGATTGGATCTTGGTGGGGGGAGGGTGGGAATGTTGGGGGGGGGAGCCCGTGGCAGCAGGGGCCAGGGGGAGCCCTGGAGGGCCTGCTGCCACCCCAGCCGCCGCCAGAAGGGGAGCCCTGTGAAGGTGCTGGAGACGAGGGAGCCAGCAGGGGCTGTAGAGAGGAGGGGGTCTCGCCAGCAGTTTTCTGAGCAAAGCCCCGATGGCTTGTCCCTGCCTGGTTCACCCGACTCTATGTTCCCGGCTGCCAGTGCACAATGGGGGCTCACCCAGCCCAGCTCCCCAGGCCTCCGGCCACCCGTCTCTGCACCCGGCCCAGGCTGGATTCCTCCTGTTTGCCCACGCGGTGTGACTGGAGTTGGATGCGCTCGCCCCTGCCTGGCGAATGGCTGGCTCACTCCTCTGCTAGGTCAGGATTGGCCGTCAGGGCGGAGGGGCGTCGTCCCCACCCTGCCTGTCCTTGTCCCAAGCCCAGGGCCCGAGGCAGAGGGCGATGTGGCCACCTGGGCTGCACCACCCCCACCCGCCCCCACAGCATCGCCTGATGTCCTCCCATGGCAGCAGCACATGCCCTTACTACAGGAGAATATCTCACACAGCAGGGCTCTTGTCTGGCTCTGGGAGGGGGGACTAATGGATAAAACACGGGGGCTGGGCGGCAGGACGCCTGGGTTCTATCCCCAGCTCTGGGAGGGGAGTGATGTCTAGTGGTTAGAAGAGGGGGGCTGGGCGGCAGGACACCTGGGTTCTCTCCCCAGCTCTGGGAGGGGGGTGGGGTCTAGTGCTTACAGCCACCTGTGCCCCTCCCACACCTCCTCTTGTAGGTGCTGGGAGCTGGGCTGGGCCTGGGCCAGAGGCTCTTCCCCACTCAGGAAGGAGGATCCCAGCTGGGATTAGCTGAGTAAATGGGGCAGCAGCCCTGTGTGCCACAGAGATCGCCAGCTGCTTAACCCTTTAGTGTCTGCACGTGGAGATGGGACCTGATCAAAATGGAATGGGGGATGATGGGAGAATGGGATCGGGTGGGTTAGAGCAGGGGGATGGGAACCAGGACACCTGGGTTCTATCCCTGGCTCTGGGAGGGGTGGGGTCTAGTGGTTAAGGGGGGTGGGGGCTGGGAGCAGGACTCCTGGGTTCTATCCTGCTCTAGGTGGGAAATGGCAGGTGTTTGCTCCATTGCGAACCCCAGGTTGAGCAGCTGCTGCCAGAGCCTTTTGCATACCTTGGGCCATGGCCCCCATGGGGGGAGGGAGGTTTCACTTGAGGTGTATTGGGGGGCTCCTGGGGCACTGCTGGTCCTTGTATCCAGATGCCCCCGAGTAGCGCACTGTGTCTCAAGGCCTGGCCTGGAATCACTCCAGCCCCAGCTTCTGGCCCCTTGTTCCAGGTTGAGGACATGAAGATCGTTGTGCCCTCCAGTGCAGGGGGCTCGGCTCCCGTCTGAGTGCTGCGGTCTGGGGCCGTACTGGGGCAAGGGGGAACCAACCAAAAGGAGCAGGGACCCCCCTCCCTCACATGAAAGCAGACCCCATCGAAGCAGCCAGTGTTTGCCCTCCACCCAGTGCTCCGAGGGAAAACTTGGGATGCTGAGATAACCTCCCGGCCATACCCCATTCACCTGTCCAGCTCGTCTCAGGGGTGGTCAAGGGGAGCATAGGGTGTCCATTCCAGCGGTGTCACTATGCGGCTGTTCCCTGGCTGCCCCGCCCCAGAGGTGGCTGCAGCTCTGTTCCAGCCCAGAGAGAACCACTCTACCTGAGCCCACCCTGTTACTACTCGGTCCAGTTCTGTGATGCTGGCTGTTTCCCCTGGCTGGGCAGGTCGGGGTACTATGTCGGCTGGGCTGCTGCCCCCTGCCAGCTGCTCTGTGTCACTGCCGGTCATCTCCAGCCAGTTCCACCCATCGGGGCTCGCTCCCCCTTCACTGCTCCCGTCTCACAGACTCAGGGTGCAGAGGTCCGGGGGGTGGAAGTGGCATAGCAAAGACCCCCATGGCTGAACCCTGCTCCCTGGACCAGCGCTCCCAGCCTCTGGGCCAGCATCCTCCCCCTTCCTCAGGACAGAGCTCACACCCCATTACTGATGGCAACCCTTGGCCCTTCCCCTGTGCCTTCCCTCTGCAGATCTCCAAGCGCTTTGCCAAGGAGGGCAGGCTCATTATCCCCATTGTGCAGATGGGGAAACTGAGGCACAGTCACCCAGTAGATCTGGGACTCAAATCCAGCTCTCCAAAGTCCCAGACCAGTGTTCTATCCACTATACAACACTTCCCTCCAAACCCATTATGGGGACCCCTCATAGGGTGCAGAAATCACCCCCCACAGAGCTCTGCCCCATCCCCTGCTTCTCCCCAGCGTGGCAATAACCCTCTGCTAATCCCATTTATGCAGCCAAATCAGAGGGGCAGGCTGGCCCAGTGGTGAGGGTGCTACCCTGGGCTGTGGGGCTCTATGGTTCAATTCCCAGCTCTGGGACAAACTGCCTGTGTGAGGCTTGCCCCCTTGTGCCTCAGTTTCCCCCTGAGGATGGCTGTGATGCCCTGCCTCACCGGAGAGATGCCCAGGGCGATGGGGCCAGATAAGGAGCTGGTTGAGCAGTAACAGGCCTCAGAAGAGGGGTAAGCACTATTCTAATGTGTGTAAATGAGGCTGGCTCCCCACAGAGCCAGCAGCCGGCTCCAGGGCTGTGCCCCCTACAGCTGACAGGAACCCAGCTCCAATCCACCTCCCAGGGGCTGTTTGCTGAGCCAGGCGCTGTGGCTGCCGGATGGGGGGGGTGGCTTCCCTGTCTCATGGGCATGTGGAAGCCGTGGCTAATCCCTGTTGCTCGAGCCAGACCTAACGAGAA